TTTTTTTTTTTTTTTTGGTGGATTGTGTATGTGTGTTCGTGTGTGGGGGTTTAACTTTCTGGGCACTTTCTTAAGGAGATGAAGGCAGGAGGGGAGTGTGCAGGGCACAGAGAAAATCGCCCAGAGAGCTGATGGCAGAGGGCAGCAGAGCTGGGGAAGGCTGCCAGATCACCTCCATCAGATTAGTGTTCAGTCCTCTTTGGTTCACCCCCCTTCCCTCAGCCCCTCCTCTCCCAGCTGCCAAATCTGTGAAGAGAGTGCCTTGAGGAGGGGGGCCCAGAATGGCAGCTGTAGCTGGGAATTAGGCCAGCAGACCCAGAAGGGGAATCAGGTTAGTTTGAGTCCCCAAAGCCAGGGTGCCTCCCAGCTCCCAGCCTGGTGTGTGCATTCACACACACACACACACACACACACACACACACACACACACACACACAAGCACACAGGGACAAACACAAATCCAAATTGCCCCCTGGCGATTGCAGCTGGCCTGAGAGAAGGCAGCTCCAGCTGAGGGCCTGGGGGAGCTTGTGCCATCTCCATCGTGCTCCATCTCTCACACGCCTCGTCACTGAAATGGGATGAGGCTCCAGGGACTGGAAGCACAGCCGAGCCAACGGCAGTTAGCAGCAACTTCGTCTCCCTTCGGAGTGCGCAGTCTCAGAGGGCGAGAGTGGGGGCTACTGACCTTCTCCTCTTTCACCAGCTTCCTTGGGGTGTAGAGCAGAGAGGCCGCCATTGCAAAGCAGTCTTTAAGGTCCCTCGATGAATTTTTTAGGTGACTGGCTCTTCCTCGTGGCTCCAGGTTCCAGCTTTGATGTCAGTTCATCTCTAGCCTCATATGTCCCATTGGAGATCTACAGCCCCAGCTAGATGACTCAAGAGAGAAGCGCTGCTGTTTCCCTGCACCCACCTTTTCCCAGCAGGGGGCACCAGATGTAACAACCCTTATACTGAGTTTTCAGTCCAGAGAGGCTCCTCTTCCAGGGACTTTTTGTCCAGTTTTGGGTCAGAACTCCCCTTAGGGAAGGTGAGTGGGGGCGCTGCCCAGAAGGTCCCCAGAAGGTGCCACAGGCTTGCTCTCAGGGAGCTGGGGAAGGAAGTCCCTGGATAGCTCTTGAGGACAGTGCTGCTGCTGCTGACGACATCATGGACATCTGAAGGGTTTAATCAGGCTAGTTATTTAGCCCTTTCGTTTGGGCCAAACCTCTGAAGGGGGATATAGAGAGGAAGGGGCACCCCCTGAGGACAGGAGGAGGAGCCTGGGGGGTTGTTTTTACCTAAAGGGCAGAAAAGGGGTGAAGACACGGGGAGTTGGAATTGAAAGAGCAAGCAGCCAATTTAAGTGCCTTCTTCAAAACCCTGTTCCTTGGAAACAGCTTGAAGCAACATCTCTTGGGGAGGTCAGGGGTCAGGGTCATGAAGGCGAGCAATGGACTCAGATGAGTGGGAAAGATCAGCAGGCCTGGGGTTGAGTCCTGGCTCTGCTGGCTTCTGCTTTCTGGCATTCCAGAGCTTCACTTTCCATGCCTGGAAAATGGGGTTTCCTCTCTCTTGCTTAAAAAGCGTACACGGGAAAGTGCATGGCACATAATAAGTCATTATTAAAAGGGAGAAGGAAATATCAATTGTCCAATATTTATGTGCCAGGCACTATGCCTGGCTCTGGGAACATGGGGAACAAGAGAAACATGGTCCCTGCTTTCTAGGAGCTTACATTCTAGTGGGAGGGCAAGAGATATTAAAGAGCTAGGGACACACTTATTTAATTACATTTCAGGTAAATGCTATGAAGGGGAGACGCAAAAACTCTAAAGTTGTGACTTAATTCAGGAAGACCAGGAAAGATTTGCAGACCAAAGCTAGAAAACTGACCATCTGCAGACTCTGTTGAAAAGCTAGGGCTCACAGATGATGTGTTATAGAATTGCACCCCTGAAACCTATATAATTTAAATAACCAGTGTTACCCAAATAAATTCTATTTAAAAATTAAAATTGAAAAAGGAGCTACAGGAGCAGATACGGAAGAAGGCAGCACAGTGTAAAGCAGACCTTCTCAGTGTTGGCTGCAGATTAGACCCACTGGGGGCCTTCCCCGGAGATTCCAATTTGCTGCACATAGGTGGGCTCCGGACATTGGTGGTATTGGGTACTCCAGGTAATTCTAACCTGCAGCCGGTGTTAACAACTACTGACACAGAGCCTAAGAGCTTGGAATGCAGAGTCAGGCTTAGGTTCAAATCTTGCCCTGCTGCCTAGCAACTGCTGTGTGACCTTGAGGACATGTTAATCTTTCTGAGCCTCGGTTTCTTTGTTGATAAAATGGGTACTTTAATAATCCTTCCCTCATAGGGCTTTTCTAAGGAGTTAATGAGACAATACCTGCAAAGGGCTTGGCACAGTTCCAGGAACCTAGAAGGTGCCCCTTCCACTGCCCAGAATTGGTCTTAAAGGGCCAGGTGCAGCCTCCATTCACCCAGCAGGGCACCCACTCAGACCTGGTGACTCCTGCCCCCTGCAGGCCATCCCAGAGCACAGCACTCGCTTGCCGGCCTTGAGAGACATCTGTCCTTGGAAACAGGAGACAGGACAGCTGTCTCCTATGGAAAAGTCACACACTTAGCCCTGGCACACTCTTAAAAATGTTGCTCACTTTGGATGTATACAGTTGGAGATGGGTGGGAGGTTTTGCTTGTAATGGAAAGTATAGACAATTAAATAAGATAATAAACCACAGCCCTCAACATGAAGCCTGGCACATAGTAGACACTCAAAAGTTCTAATATATTAAAGAATGTAGAATGTGGAATCCCAAGGGATGGATCTGAGGCACAGTTTACCATTTTCTAACCACATGGCCTTTATGAATGAGTCAATTTCTCTGCATCCCACTCTCTTTAATTATAACATGGAGATAATACCCAACCTTTCTACCTTGGTGGAATATGGTGAAAACCATGAGTTACAGATACGAAAATACGGTTAAGTAAAGGCTTTGCAAAGTAAGGTGTTATTTCTGCCCTCCTTTGTCACCTGAAAAAAATGATTGAAATAATAAACCCCTGATCTTAACTTGTTAATTAAAACAAGTCACGTACTTTGAAGAAGTCCAATCAGTCTTTAGGGAGGAGGGTGCTGCTACTAGCTTGGGTCTTAGGGGCAGCAAGGGAGTCAGAGCTCACTTAGGGTTCTAATGATCCTAAGGGACAGGGCTCCTGGTGATCTGGAAGGGGTAGCTGGCTTGACTTTTAGCAGAAAACTTTTTAAAGGGCTGAATGTGGCAGTTTCTCCAAGGAGCAAAGGCATCACACAGCCCCACCTCCCCATCCCCCTTCACAGTGGCGGCAGCCCTGGGCCTCGGAAGCCACACTTTGAGTCCTGGAATGGCATAATGGGATCCAAGGGACGACAAGGATAAACCCATTGCTGATTATTCCTGATTAATAATTAGGTGGGAGGCTGGCTTTCCCTGGCCTTGATCAGTTCTATCGCCAGCACCTGAACTTGGATGGCAGCCCAACGCTAGGACTCTCAGGGAAAGCTGGGTCGTAACTTGAGAGGTTCTTTGTGGTAGCTTCAGACAAATGGGAAACACACTTAGGTGACCTCCCACCCAACCAGCATGGTGTGGCACAGGCAGGTTTTTCAGAGACGGGCAGGCCACATCCCAGTCCTGTGTGACCTTTGGACATGCCACATCCCCTCTCTTCAGTCTCTCTGCTCATCTCTAAAATGGAGGAAGAGTTCCCGGGTTGCTGGAGATAAGATCATGAGAAGATACTTTGTCAATTGTTTAGTGGGCTCTAGACTAAGGTCTCAAGTACCCTTGTTGCTTCTCTAAAACAGCTAGGGGTAAATGCAGACATCCTGGGGGATTCTCTCTGATTTATGTTAACCACAAACTGACCTTCTCAGGCCCCAGAGAAAAGGCAAAGGGGGCTACCAGCCCTCTCAGAGAGTGTAGTAGGGAGAGACATAGCTGGGCAGGAGTGAGTACTATACACAGTCTTCATCCTAGAAACATAGACCTAGCTAGTGCGACTAAATCTGTTAGGACTCTGCCAAGCTGGTGTGGTTCAGTGGTTGAGCATCATCCTATGATCCAGGAGATCATGGTTTAATTCCTAGTCAGGGCACATGCCAGAGTTGGGGGTTCGATCCCCAGCAGGGGGTGTGCAGGAGGCAGCCGATCAATGGCTCTCATCATTGATGTTTCTATCTCTCTCTCCCTCTTCCTTCCTCTCTCTCTGAAATCAATAAAAATATATTTTAAAAATAATAATCTGTTAGGACCCAAACCATCATAGCCTCCCCCGCCCCCATCTAAACTATAAGAAACCTCTGCAGTCCAGAGGCTGGAGATATCAGTCATTCATTCATTGATTCATTGTTAGGAGACAGGATCATAGTGATCCTACTATGTGCAAAGCAGTTTGGGAACTGGAACAGCATACCCAAATCAAAAGAGATGTCTCTATAGCTAGAAAAAGGGCAGAGCTGTGCGTTTTATTTGCATTTGCCTCCTCTACAAGGGGTGTTTTTTCCCCCCAAACTTAGGGTAAGGAGCAGAAAGACTGTCCTTAAAATAGTTTTCCAAGACCCAATGCCAAGAATTGCCCCAAGTCATGTCTATTCTGAGTTAATTTCTGATACCACATCTTCTCTCTAGGCTGCTGGGTGACATGCCCATAAAGCCACAAAGAGAGTACTAGGAAAGGTCCTTTGTCATTCATCTCCTTC